TTCTTGTTCCTAGTAGTAAGGCACTTGTTACTAGTAGCGATGCACTCCGTTACTATTAGCTTCCTCCAAGCTCAAACAAGGCAAACAAGGGAAGAGCCGTCACATTCAATGATCATTTCACATCTTTTCCACCGCAGGTTGTGAATTGGCGTAGGGTGTCCCACTCTTGATGAGTGTATCTCCATCTCTCTTTTTTTGGGATGGGGGGTGCAACAGGATCCTTGGCTTTCCTTGATTGGGGTGGGAAGAGCATTTCGTTGGCTGCAAACATGTTGATCTCCTGAGAAGTTGGGTTTGAAACACAAAGTGTTGACAGCTGGTGAGATACTCAGGAAGTTTGACTGGTGACTGGAGGGGTACTGGACAGATAATCCTCCACAAGAGGCTGTGTAAGTTGCACTATGGGTAGGCAAAATCCTGCATTGCTAGGGGCACCAAAAGTATCCAAAAGTACTGGAACTGATGGGATGCTGGCTGTTAACTGTTTGAGTTGTGCTACATCCTGTTAGTAGAGAGCTGTCGAGATTGCGTGTCTCCCTTCACGATCTCCAAGGCGGCCGTGGTGAAGAAGTGTTGGTGGCTGGAACGGCCAAGGTTGGAGACGTGAAAGTGGCAGCGCAGAAGTCTTTTGGGCAAGGCGGGGCATGCGTTTAAAGCACCTCCTTGACATGCAATGGCGCCCTGACCGTGGTTTGTTTAGGGTCCGCAGACAACACGAAAGGCATTGATCAATCTTCTCTCCGCATCTGATCTGCCAGGCTTCCTGAGGCTTGTTGCTCCCGACGGACGCAATTTGGACTTGAACGAAGATCTAGCGAAGGTGGGACTTCAAGATGGAGACACTCGGAGAGATGTTGGAGGAGAGTGAGGTGAGAAGATTTTCGGGCTGCAACAGAGTCCCAATATGCTCAGCCCTTGGAGCCTGATTTCGAACGACCGACATTGCCTGCAGGGCAAGAGGAGATCATCCAGGTTTGACCGGGCACAATACCAGGAGGTCGCAAACTTCTATAAGCTCAAGAGATGGGCTTGGAAGCACTGGGCTGGGATGTCAGGTTTTTCCTAAGACATTTGGGAGAAAATGGATGTCAAGTCTTTGAAAGAAGGTCAGATCCTCCAACCAAGCGGATTCAGGTTGGAAATGCATAGCTGTTAACTCTTCAGCATTGGGCAGATTCAATATTGTATATACAGTAGATTCCTGGGATAAATCCACTCAGCAACCACCCCCAGTATCAGTGAATCACGGGGAGTGCCTTGTGCTGCCAATTTTGATGAGCTGAGGAGTACCTCAGTGCAGTGGCACAAGCACCGCTGGTGACAAGAGCATCTGAGGCTTTTGCGTTGTGGATTTCAGGAGGTAGTGTTGTCACATGGGGTAATCCAAAGGGAGGTGGTGACAGCAGTGCTGTGCAGGACCAGCTTCGACACGTTCGAAAGATTTGCGCCGCAGACCACGCATTTGCTGCTGTGTTGAATGATGGGAGAGTTGTCACATGGGGCGATCCGACTTGCGGTGGTGATAGTTCTGGGGTCCAGAATCGTCTCCGAAATGTACAGGAGATTCACGCCACATCTCGTGCTTTTGCTGCAGTCCTTGGTGACGGATCAGTTGTGACATGGGGTGATCCACAGTGTGGTGGTGATAGCAGCGAGGTGAAGGATCGGCTCAAGAACGTGAAGAAGATTTGTCAAACAGCCCGGTCTTTTGCTGCACTTCTCGATGATCGATCAGTTGCAACATGGGGCTGTCAGATACATGGTGGCGACAGCAGCAGGGTTCAGGAGCACCTGAGAAATGTGCAGTGTATTTTTGCTGAAATATCTGGCTCCTTCCACGCTCTCACTGACAGTGAGGAGGATATCACATGGGGCCGTGGGCAGTGGCACAGGTTGACAACCGCAAGGTCGGACCTGAGAATCGCCCAGGATTTGCAAACCAATGCCTTGATTTCTGTAGTTGCGTTCGCAGATGGAGCGTTTGTTACAACAGCAGGCCTCTCAACTGACGACAGCTCTGTACAGGAATTCAAATTAATGGCCAGAATCGTACATCTGCAACAGGAACTTAAGGTAAAGCTTTGCATGCTTTGCATGAACCTGACCAGGGGTGAGGCAGAACTACTTCATTTGTGCTGGCTACCATACAAAGGGAATGGCAGAACGGGGGTGTGGGATCGCCTCAAGAATGTACAAATGATTCGTTTTACACAAACTGCCTTTGCCGCAGTGCTCGCTGACGGAACAGTTGAAACTTGGGGATCTCGGAGACATGGTGGTAACTGCAGGACGGTCGAGACTCGCCTCATCGACGTCCAGGATATTTCTGCGACCTTTGGTGCCTTTGCTGCTCGTCTTGGCAGTGGTCGAGTTGTCACATGGGGCGATCCGACTTGCGGTGGTGATAGTTCTGGGGTCCAGAATCGTCTCCGAAATGTACAGGAGATTCACGCCACATCTTGTGCTTTTGCTGCAGTCCTTGGTGACGGATCAGTTGTGACATGGGGTGATCCACAGTGTGGTGGTGACGCCCGGAAGGTGCAAGAGGAGCTTCAGTGGCTTTCGTGATGCGTTTGCGTTCCAGCTGAAAAGAGAAATGGACACAAACGAAACTAGGCAGCATGGCATGGTGTGTGGTAAGCCCTTAATGTGAGACACATCAATTTCCTCACACTAAGGATCAAAGTCTTGGCTTGACAGGTGCAGATGAACATAACACCCTCTGCAGAGCCCCTATCCAGTTGTTCCCGCTTTTGCGAATCCCAGCCTGTTCGAGGGTTACTTCTACAGAGGCTTATTTGGGATGGAACCCAAGTGAACTTTACAGCCGGCAATGTTTCCCTGACCAGCACCAGGTGTATACTGCCGATTTGATGCACCAAACCCTGGGAGACCCGCCGCCCTTTGACGTGTCACTCGATTTCCGACCTGAGAGGCTAGAGATCTCTTCGGTGGACGGAGAGGAGAAAAGAATGGAAAAGATCTCAGAGAGAATTGGATGTCGGGTGCACTTGTGCAAGACATGCAAGACACGGTGCTTGATGTAGGGAGTGGGAAACATTCTGTTTGTCATAAGGATCTCACCGCAGTCGCTCAAATTTGCATTCTTTTGTTTATCTTGCTCGGAATGTGGTTGTTTGAACAGATTCCTCGAACAGACCTCAAAATCTCCAGTTGCACCAAAAAGGCTGTGCAAGTGAATCGTTGTCAGCAACCTGTCCATGTTGACCCTTGTATATAATTTTTGAATATATATATATATACACACCTCGAAGCGAAAGGACCAAAGTCTGTGTTCCATCTTGGGCTCTGCTTTCTCCCTGGCGGCTCAGCGGGTCCCGGTGTCCCATCCCGCTGCAACGGCCAGCAATGAGCCTCGGCTGTGGGGTGGGCCTTGACCCGCGGTTCGGACCGGTGAGCGAACCGCTGCCGACGAAGCGCAGCAGGTTTTGGAAATGACCCAGATGAACTTGGGATGTGCCTTCTGTCAGGTTCATTGGGCCCACCAAAATGACGTGTCCGCCTATCTTGGAAGAAGGACATCACCTTCCAAACCCTTAGGTTGGAGGCCATCGCTACTAGCTACCTCTAGCTATCGCGACCTACCCCCCCGCGGGCGAAAAAAACATGGTTTGGGGTGAATCCCCTCACTTGCTCCAAAGATCTCCAAAGCATTTAGACCTCGTAGATGAGTTGCGTCACTTACCTTTCAACTCCCGACCGACCCCAGCCGTCTCGATCCTCTGTCGAACCGCAACGGCTGAAAAGCTCTGAGGATGTGGACGCGTGTCGGGCTTCACCTTGGATCCACGCAGCTCGGGGCCTCGGTTGGCCTGGTCGCTAGGGAAAACCCATTAAGGGTATCCATCGGCTGCGGCTTGGGCTTTTATTGTTGGGGAAAGAAGAGCTTGGACAGTCGGAACTAGAGCCATTCAATTGGGCTCTTACTATCAGGCCGACCCCTTCCATTCCTGATTCCGAATTGTGCTAGTTTCTTCCATCAATTGAAGTTGTCATGGAGAAGTGGTGTACACAGCGAAAGGCTTAGACATAGTACCATTGACTGAATACTTCTTGGAGGCCGTCGCTGTTAGGTTGGAGGCCATCGCTAGTAGGTACTTCTGCTATACTGAACTTGAACCTCTCGACGTGTCCAAGGCTCTCCTCCGCGTGCCGCGCGTCGCGCGCGTCGCGCCTGGGCACGCCGTGCTCGTTGCTTGGAGCGCAGCTGGGACGACGATGCTTCTCCTCGGAGGAGCTGCGACGCTGCAGATAGGGCAGTGGGCGTCTGGAAGTTGGAAAGCCTGTTAGGGCATGTCAAATGGTGCAGGAATTGGCTAAACCCCATTCTCTCTAGCAGAGAGGGTTGAGAAGAGGAGGAGATGTGCAACATAAGACCTGCGCACTGCGCACCTGGCAGTTTTGTTTCGTAGGATCTGGTCTTGATGGAACGCAGGGACTCCGGAGTGGCAGTGTGGGGAGCCTCAAAAAAGAGCATTTGACTGATCAGGAAGGCGCTGATGACCGAAGCCCATCCAGTGAGTAGAGGAAGATCACATTTCTGCCAGTTCAAGCTAAATCCACAAGAATTCAAGTTCTTTCAGTGTGGTTTTGAGTTCATTTCTGCATTTGCAATGAATTTTGATGTTTTTACATGTTTTTACTCTTATTGCTGCAGTAATCTGAAGGTTGAAGAAGTTTGAAGGTGCCTCATCAACTGTGGCAGTTATGTACTGAGTGCCTAAATTCTTTTAGCTATGCGTTGTGAAAGCTGGTCTAAGCTCATTAAGGATGCTCCTGACAACACCAGAACCACTGCAACATGACACACCATATTGGTCCTAAGGGGATATGTAGATACCCATTCAAACAGACGAGTAGCTTGAAGAATGTACTGACCAGATTCTTTGTCAGACATGTGAGGCTTACCTTGAACCGTCCAAAAGCGCTAAACGCGCTCTCGGATGGCTTGATGAAAGCGCTGTTTGAGTGCTTGCAGGAGGCACCGATGGGTGCCATTCAAACGTCGGTGTGATATATTTTTGCTTGTAGGCTGAAGCTTTCTATGATTTTCGATGGGATAGTTCAGACACGGGGTTGATACGTGCCTGGTAGTGTGCGCTGGGTAGCCTTAGCGGCGACTTTGTAGATTTGGACAGTCGTGCAGCATTTCGAGATTTCAAGTGAATAAACGCTCGTTTCAACAGCATGGTCAGACACGGCGCCCCGACAGGTTGATGCTGATGCTGCTCTCAAGGCAGGGTATCGTAACATGCCTGGTGGCGGTAGTGGTGACGGTCAGTGTGCGCATGTGTCCGCAAATGAGGTAATTTTCTTTTGAGCTTCAGACTGGATTAGTATATACAGTGTATATATATATATATATCTACTTTCTACTTGTACCAAATCAATCACGCGAGGGCTTCTTCAAGGAAGCTTCCCCCAGTCCGGGTAGGCTGGAGCTTCGTTGAAGAAGCACTGCGACGAGCGTGTGTCCGAGGTACTATGGCCTACTAGCTGTTACTAGCTACTGATCGCTTACGATGGCCTAATTACCTTTCCCGCCTTAAACAAAAACCAAAGAAAAAGACATGTTTGAGTCATACCGAGTCATACCTGCTCTTTTTTGGACCGCCAAGGGCTCTCAGCTGAGTCTAAAAGCGACTTCGTAGGCAGTGGTGGTCACGGGACAAGGCAAAGCCTTTGCGGCTGGAGCTGACATCAAGGAAGGGCTGGAGCCGTGGCCAAAAGACGTCCTTTGACCTTAGATGATCCCCGTGTTTGGGTAGAAAGTATAAAACTGTGGAGTTTACCCGGTTTACCTTTTCATATTCTCAAACTAGGACTTTTTGCGGTTCTTGAGGCTTACCCAGGTCTTCCGTCTTCTAGCTAGTGCCCTTTCAGGATATATCATTCTTCTGATTGAGCTTCCAATTGTGATTGATGACGAGCAACTGATGGGTATATAGCTTTCGGTGACTTCTCCACACGGCGGACACAATCGATCTACCTCATCCTTAGGGCCCCCTCATCACATCCGCTGCCACGCCAGCCAAAAACGTTCGTGTACGGAGGGTCAAACAGCATGGACTCTTGTGGTGGACCTACACGTTCAACGAAGGTTGCACGTGTTGGTCTCGTTTTGAGACACGGAGTTCTCGCGAATGGATCGTCGCTTCGGAGCCACGTTCCTGTCGGTTCTGACAGCAATGCAAAACGGCCCCGCAAGTATTGCTCAAAGGTTTTGGGCAGCGCTCAGATGCAGAAAGGCCTTTTCCATGTTATGCCTTCGTGATCCCCAAGTAGATCTGAGTAGTATTGGCAGTATTGGTCAATCATTCCATGGGCCGACTGAGGGTGCACTGGTGTGTTTGCGAAACTCACTCGCTCCACATTCATGCCATGCGAGCTGTGGCCTACCTGAACCTCTTGAACCTGGTGGCGGGAGTGCGAGACGCCTACAAGGCGAGGAACGATGCGGACGATGTGGGTGTGACCGCGGCCCAAAACAACGACCTGTTCTCCTTTATTCTGTGATAAATTCTTCTGTTCATCCTAGTGGTCCTGGTGTGAATCTACCTGAAAGATCGTTTCAGGGGTCAGCACTTGGAGGTGCACCTTGTTGATCGTTTGCCGATGGCATGACTTCCACGGACCGTTCTTCTTGGCGGCTTTGGACCCGCGATTTCTCACACGCGCAGGCTTTGGACCCGCCTGACCAGTCGCAGCATCTTTCGAAGGAGCCAGTGCTCTTGCACCTCAGAAGACCATTTCCGCTGGGTCCAGTTTTGGATGGGCAAGAGTTGGCAAGAGCGATTGGGTTGGTATAAATCCCTGGTTGTGACTCGGCTATTATTATATTATTATTGTTATTATTATTATTCATATACTCTCTTCATTTCTGGGCTGGAATTGCTGGGGTTGTATCACCATACTCTCACATCACTCGTTGCAGGGTTTGTGTCATCTTCAATGGCAGCTGAAAGAAAGGCGTTTTCCACGTTTTTCGGAAATCGCTCCTGTCAGGTGGAACTTCCCGTGCTTTTGTAGATCCATATTTTCATGTGCAACATGATCTAGGTTTCTTTTTACCAAGCATGACATAGGCACTGGTTATGCTGCAAGTATTGTGTTTCCTTCTTCCTTGGTCATTTGTATAGTATAGGGAAATACAGTGAAGAACTCTCACTGGGTGGGGGGCAAATCATCCTCCGATGCCTGGACACCTTTCAGTGATACAGTTTGGGTTAGTCTGCCGATGATACCCTCGTCTGACAGATGTCGAGGTACTACATCAACACAGTCGACAACGTTGCCCGACGTGCCCAGATCGAACAGCAGGCGAAACAGCTGGACTTGCCATTGCAACGCTTCAGGCACGATGGCATTGCGATGCATCTTCAAAAGGTGCAAGTGCCGAAGCTTGCAGAAATAGACGGAATTGGAGTCTAGAGGAACTATTTGAGTTCAAATGAACCTCAAGCTTTGCCTTTCACCGGAAGAGTCAGTTATCACACCCATACACTTGACGCAGAACTGTTCGATGCATTCATGGGCTTATGCCATCCATTCTCATCCTTGTGTACTTTGTGTGCTCTTTTTCTTCCTGGTCTTTGTATCCTCACCTGCGGGTTATGAGACCACCACTACTCTGGTTCATCCGATCTCACTTTCAGGGCCGTGGACACGCAAGACGTCGCTGCTGGGACCTATGCACGGTACATCACCGTCGATCCGAATCTTGGATTTGGCCAAACAACATGTGTATCGTCACATCAGAGCACATCACCAATAGTTTCTCACACACTTCAAGCCTTAGAGTCCTGAAAGAGGAATTGTTGGAGGGGTCCCAGATTGCAATTTGGGAGAGCGGCTTTGCTTGGGTAAAGTCATGAGGCTGAGGGGGAACAAAGAGTGACAACTCTCTAGCTTTGGTTCAGCCAGTGAGAGTCCTCATACTAGAAGATGCCATGTCACGCTGGTCATCACTGGCAGATGTGACATCCGCTCCAGGTTCCTAGAGATCACCGTCGGTCGTGTAGGTGGGAAATGATGGGAATATACTTAGGTGAAATTCCGGTGTACTGGCCCGCCTGCATAGACTCATTAATGCTGCACGACCAAACATCATCTTGCACTCAGATGGAGGGGGGATTTCCATCTTGGTGCATCAGCTTGGTATGAGGAGCGAGAGCATCTCGAGGACCTACCAGGCGAATGCCACGGTGGCGTGTTTCTTGAGCCATGTCTTCCTGATGACCGAGATCGCCCGGAACTTCAGCGACGACCGCCCCTCGGTGGATCCGCCCCTCGGGGCGGACGTGATCCAAGGTAGCAGGTAGCAGGTAGGGTCAAGGGGATGGTCTTGCTGAGTGGATCTATTTTGATCCAAATTGTAATTTTGCAGTCTTGACTTTTCGGTTCCTTAGGCTATTCGGCTATCAGTATTAGGGTCCATCCCTTCTTTTAGGAATCGCAACTTGCACTTGCCACATTGGGTTCTCAATCGATCCTGCATGCCTTGGGGCGGAAGCTGGTGGCGTCACCAGCTGGTCCTCGGGTAATCTGGGGCTACTCAACAGAGGTGCAATGTGTCTAAAGCATCGTCCCAAACCTGAAGAGCGTTGTACCCACCAAATCAATTGCTGCTGCTGTTGTGGCAGCAGCAGCGGCCGCCATTGCAGCTACTATGACCGGTTGAACCGTGTCCGTGTGCTGAGGAATAGCTCTCATTATGGAAGATGATGTGGTTCTTCCCAGAGACCTTCTGGCCAGGCACGGAGATGATCACAGGTCTGAGATTTTGGATACCCTTCGGCAAAGCTTAAAGGGACTCATAAGGGATCTCTCTTGGTCACTTTGAATCCCCCGAACAGATCAGCAACCGCAGGACTCTGGTTTGATCGACTTTGGGAACCCTGACACCCAAAATCCTGGGCTGTGCTCTTCAAGCTCCAATCTCATCAGGCTGGACCACCTCCTGGGCTGTGCTCCAGATGGCTGGACGCTGCTGAAGGGCTCCTCCTGGGGTGCCATGCGCTCCTCTGACTTGGTGAGGCGGCGGATCAGCTGGTCCTTCCAGGGACTTTGGGGGACTGTTCAAGCTCCCAGTGGTGCGTGTTTCTACTTTTGGTCACGGAGAAGGGGATTGAATGCAATCATCTAGGGATATTGTCTCATGTTTGATGTGGAAAGGTGGAGATCGATCCAAGCCTTAAGGCTTTGAGCGCTGTACATCTCGATACATTTTGCACCACCAGTTGACCCTGTTCAAAAAGTCTCAGGTGCCAAATTCGATTCTTCTCCAGAACTGGTCAGGATCGAACGCCGAATCGATGCCCAGGCCACACAGAAACAGCTGGCAGGAGATCTGCGCGTCACATTCGACACGGAGTCGTGGGCAGTTCGCCGACCCTTTCCCCGACCTTTCACCTACCGTTGTTTTGGAGTTCCGGCGGTTTTCGTCGGTTTGGTCGACTGGTCGGCTCATCGGGGCCCATCTGAAGGAGTTGGTCTTCCAGGTGAAGGCATTGATCTCCTTGATGGATGTACAGGCTGACATGGCACGAAGACGTGGCCAAGGGGACGCACCTCAGAAAAGAAACAGGATTGATTTCTGTCTAGGATGTCAACCGAGTTAGTGTACAGCTTTGACTTGTACTCATGTGAATCTAGGATGTTGTTCGCACTTCACAAATTTCAGGTGCATGTTGATGTTTGTTGTGGACGCCCGTAGTTCCTTTTCAGCACATTTCGAGCTACGTACTATTTTACGGAAATGTGCTGAATGATTCGGGTGACTCCCTCCAAACACTTCAAGGGTAAACGGAGTCTCGAAAGGGGTCTATTTTTGACACCAGTGACACCATGGTTTCTGGTTTGCTACAGCCCAGAGAAGTCCCGGCAGCTCTACACCAGCTTTTGAAAAAGAACTCCGCTGTGCGACCGGGGCTGTTTCGCCGAACGCAGGCTTGGATCACCTGGGATCACCCCAGGCCGACCGAAGGGACCGTTCACGCGAAGGGACCGACGAAGGGACCGAGTCGGAGTGGTACTTTTTTTGGTGCGAAAAGTGGAAGCAGTGGATTTTGATAGGGAAGAAAAAGGTGGATAGTAGGAACAAGGTTCGCTACGTTCGGAGCCAAGGACGGGCATCGCTACGAACGGAGCGATCGGACGCTACGAACGGGGCTCCTGGCCTTACTACGTTCGGAACAAGAGGACGCCACGTTCGGAGCAACGTCCACCCAACTGGTCCATCTTTTGGAGCTTCTCTGATTCAAGACGGTGTATGTGAGAGGGCCAACAAAAAGGGCCAACAAAAAGCATCCGGACGAAAAGACTTGGTGTGAAATTGCTGACGGCATTTCAAGCCACTTGTCAGTATGTGTGGTTCATATGTTTCATGATGTGGCCGACATGGCCCAAATATCCCCTTCCACCATTAGCGGTGGGCGATCGATCCTGACGCCAATGGCATTGTGAAAAGGGCGCGACTTCGCGTGCCGCCCGACTTTTCGTGTTCGAGAACTTCGTGAGTTTCGAGCCTCCACTCGGTCCTTTGCTTCCCGCAACCAGTGTCCGAGTGACATTGGTAGCGGAGCTACCACGCTCCGGGTAGCTCCCTGCCGATCTCCGCAACACTACATCATATCCACCTTCAAAGCCCACTTCACCTTCCACGGAAACTGCACCAACAACCTTGTCATCTTCTTCACGCTCAGGAGCAGTGCTTACACGAGAGCTCTTTGACCTTGCTGAGTTCTACCGCACTCGCTCCCACCAGAGCTCTTTGATCTTGACGAGCTCTACAGCATTTGTGGTGACACCTCCTTCAACCTGAAGTATGGCTTCTACCACTACCACGGAAAAGAAGGTCGAGTTCGACAACCACTCGGCCCGGGATAGTTTCATCCCGCTCTTCGATGGTTCCCTAACGGGATACCGCGAATGGCGGAAAAGAATCTTGATCTACTACAGAAAAATGTCCCTGTCAAAACGGCAGGGCGAAGCGATCTTGAACCTGCTGGGCAGCCTCTCAGGAACAGCGTGGAAGTTGTGCGAAGACTTCAACCTGGATAAGGCAGAAGACCCAGAAGCTCTCCAAGAGATCTTGAAGATCTTGGACGGTTCCTTCCAGTATGACGCCAATGTCGAGATGCCTGCCGACTTCTCGTCCTACTTTGAGCATTTGGCTCGCAAGCCAGGTCAGACCTTGTTGAACTATGTGACGGACCACGATGACCGGCTGAAGCAAATCGAGAAGCATGGTGTTCGACTACCCACACAAATCCAAGGGTGGTTCCTCCTGACTAAGGCCGCCCTGACACGTGAGCAAAAGCAGATGATCATGACACAGGCCGCCTCACTTGAACGAGCCAAGATTCAGCAAGCGATGTTTGCCATCCTCGGCCAAGACTACAAAGGTGGCGGTCAGCTCCTCAGAGACCGCTGGAACCGTGCTGGATCCGGCAAGAGCCGTTCATACTTTGCTGGCGATGACTCCGAAGCCTTTTTCGAATGGGATGACAATGCCCCGACCTATGAGGAGGAAGATGATGCCTATTACTTGGACGATGAAGAGAACTATGATGATCAGTGGTGGGAGTCATTCGATGCCGATGCCGCCTACTATCAGGAGGAACCTGATGAACACGAGCATGAGTTTGACACCGAGGAGTACGATGAGGCCTATGCTTCATACGTTGATGCTCGCAAACGCTTCAATGATGTGAAGCTCAGCAGAGGATTCCTTCCTGTGTTGGCTCTCCAGGACTCCGGCCCTTCATCGAGTTCCACCTCCTCGCAAAAGCCTTTCAAAGGCATGGGAAAAGGGAAGAAAGGAAAAGGCAAAGGAAAAGGAAAGAGCAGCACCTATCGTTATGACCGACCTCCTGGAAAGCCTGCAGATCCAAAAGGGCGAGCTCGTGCAGCGATGACTCCAGCATGTATGCGATGTGGTTCAACGTTCCACAAGACGGCTCAATGCACACAGGCGAGCTCTACGCCTAAACCGGCAACTACGACAAGCGGCAAGCGCCAAGCAGTTGAAGGAATGGCCATCATGCAAGACGAAACGACCTTGGTCATGCTCGAGGACTCCTTTGGCCATGAACGCCCCGACTGTGCTATGTTGGATCCTGGCGCTTCATCGTTCTTGATGGGATCAGGTCCCTTGGTCCGCTATGTCAACCACCTCCGGCAATTGGGCTATGACACTGACAAGCTCCAACTGCAGCGTTGCCATCGAGTTTTTCACTTCGGCGGTGACCACCAGAAGGTCAGTTCTTGGGTAGCCAAAGTGCCAGTCTACCTGAATGGACAACATGGACTGATCCAAGGCTTCGTCTTGTCTGGTGAAACTCCTATGTTGGTTGGAAGACCCGTGATTCGCGCCTTGGACATGACCATCGACTTCTCCCATCAGAAAGTCAAGTTTGGTGACGCTGACTGGCAAGATGCAGTTCTCGGTCGCCACGAGGAGTATCTCCTTGATCTCACGTCCTCGTTTGAGACCGAGCAGTTGACGTGGGAACCCTCCTTCGACCTTCAGCTTGATGAGAAACTGGGCGACCCTGGCTCCATGGAAGACTTCTTGATGGAAGAGCACCTCTACCACGTTGAAGAACAGATGCCATCAGAGGACACGTCTCCTATGACCACCAAACACTGGAAGACCTTGGTCATGCACACCCAAGCCCAGCTGAAGTCGATGAACACCTTGGTTGATGAGGCCATCAGACAAGAACATCAAGCTCCCCCTCGTGTCCTATGGGAAGTTTATACCGGAAGAGCTCGATTGTCGCAGGTGGCTGAAGCAATTGGCATGACCGTCAAAACGTTCGGCTTTGAGACAGGATGGAACTTCGCGCTCCAGTCGCATCAACGCGCCTTCCTGGAACTACAAGATCAAGAGATGCCGGACGAGATCTACCTGTCTCCCAGCTGCGGTCCATGGTCTCGCATGCAGAACATCTCTGCAACCTCTGAGCAGAGAAAAGAAGTACTTCGAGGTCTTCGAGAATGGCACCACAGGACCCACCTTCAGTTCTGCAAGCGAGTCTATTTGAAGCAGTTGCACTCAGGACGACATGGACACATTGAGCAGCCAACTTCTGCATTGTCTTGGGACACAGCAGCGCTTCACTCCTTGCCTGGCTATCGAGCACGACATCATCAATGTCAGTATGGTGCTATGTGCATGGATGTTGATGGAGCATGGAAGCCAGCAAGAAAAGACACCACCATCCTCACGACCAAGCGCTCCATTGCAGAAACGATGAACCGGCTATGCTCAGGTGATCATGAACATTGTCGACTTGAAGGCTACATGAAGGGACATGGCACTCATCGAACCTCTTTCATGGAGGAGTACCAGCCCGCCTTCGCATCCACACTGGCTACTTCATTGGCCTGTTCAGAGAAGCCTCAACTCTGGGAAGGCTCCTTCGCGGTTCGTGAGCAGTCGCAATACCTGGGCAAGATCGTTGATCTTCACGCAGAAGGCAAGCAGAATGCTCTACGAGTTGTTCAGAAGCTCCACCGAAACCTTGGTCATCCTTCTGCTCAAGCCCTGGTCGATCTCCTTCAAGCCAGAGGCGCGTCGACTGATGTTTTGTCCGTGGCTGAGAACTACCTCTGCAGCTCATGTTTGCGTTACAAGAAACCAAATCAACCTGCACCAGCCAACGTGCAGAAGGCCGACCGCTTCAATCAGTCCATCCAAGCTGATGTCTTCTGGATCCGCACCGACAAGAAGAAGTGGCCGATCATGGCCATCTTGGATAGTGCTACGAAGTACCAGACGGCATGTCAGGTTCAGACCGAGCAGACCCAGGACTACATCCTTTCTCTTGAGCGACATTGGATTGCTCATTTCGGTGTCCCAGAAGAGTTGGTGACTGATGAAGGTCGCGGCTGGCTTAGCAATGAGTTCATGGAGTGGTCCGACAGCCACAGCATCAGCCATAAAGTTGCTCCTGGTGAAGCACACCAACGACTTGGCCAAGTTGAACGAAGGCATGCAGTCCTGAGAAAGGCCATTGAGGTCTACATGCACGACCTGAAGTTGGAAGGAAGAGAAGGCATTCGCCAAGCTTTGACTTACATCCTGCCTCAACTCAATGCTCAGCCCACAGTTGCAGGATTCTCGCCGACTCAATGGGTTCTTGGCTATCAACCTGCTCAACCTGGTCTACTGCAGTCCAGTTCTTGCGCCCTGCACGAACACGAGACCTTCGAGAAGCACTTGCACCAGCGCAATGTGGCCAAGACTGCAATCCTCCAGGCGGAGACTGATCGGAAGCTGAGACGAGCTCTCCTTCGACGCTACTCTGGCGTCAATCAACGGTTGTTAGCTGGCCAAAGATGCTTCTACTGGCGAGATGCACAACAACATGAGCTGTGCAAGATTCGATGGCGCGGACCGGCAAAGGTCGTCTGTGTCGAGGAAAAAGACGGCAGCCCTCATGTGTATTGGTTGGCTCACAAGACACAACTCATTCGAGCTGCACCACATCACGTTCGACCAGACTTCACTGCCATCGAAGAGACCGCTGTTGAGAACTTGAAAGATGCTGCATCCACACTTCAGGCACTGAAGTCAAGAGGCGTGACCAGATTTCTCGATCTGAACAGGGCCAACAAGCAAGACTTGCTAGATGTTGAAGAACATGAAGAAGAGATGTCTCCGGATGAAGGCCCAGATCAGAAACGTCGCCGACTCGATGCAGCAGTCGATGACTCCCTGGAGGACTACACTCCCTCAGAGCCAGCGGAACCTACGGATGAAGTTGACACTCCGGGAAATCCATCTTTCCCAGCCGCTGCTCCTGCTGCCTCCACGGCTCCTGAACCTCCAGAACATCCAGCAGTACCAGAACACCTTTTACCGGCTGTTCCTGAACACCTGGATGAGATGTCCGATCAGCCGGAACCTTCTATTGAGCCTGAGCCTCCAAGTGTTCCTGCAACTCCGATGAACCTTGACCCGGTGACGTCAGAGGCCTACAGGACTCCAGTTGCCCCTGAGACCTTCGAACAGCAACGACTTCGACTTGACAAGCAGGAAACCCTGTCCTTTGGTCCAAGACGACCATGGCATCATGAGCAACCAAGCCCTTATGCAAGGCCTCCTCACGAAACTGGTGAAATGGTGTTTGAAGTCCAGGACATCGACACGGCCAACCTTCCTCATGGCTGGACCTTCAACAAGAACAACAATTCCCTGGAGCTCAAACAAAAGTTAGCCGACTTCTGGGAAGTCAAGGGTGGATGCCTTATTCGCCATCACGTACGACCACGGTCAAAGAAATTTCTTCCAGGCGATCAGGCAGATCTTCCAGTGCCCTTGGAGAAACTTGATGATGTCAGAGTCACCATCTTTCGTGAGCCAGGACAAGAACCTTCGGCGACCACCGACCACTTCAAGACGGAGAACGTGTTCAAGAGACACTCCAAAGAAGCCGCCAAAGGTCTACCTCCAAAGTGGGTTGGATGCACGATCTTTCAGATCAATGCCGTGACTCGCATGGAACTTGGAATGACTGCAACCTTGTCCTCTAGCTCTCCCACATCCGTGAAGCCCATCCGAAAGGCCGCTCAGCACATGAAGAACCAGCAGCTCCGACGCATCAAGAAAGAGAAAAGCAAGTCGGAAATCAAAGAAAAGAACCTCACACAAGCAGAACAACGGCTGTTCTTTGAGGCCAAGTGCAAAGAGCTTCGCAGCTTCTTCGAATGTGGTGTCTGGGAATTTACTACCTCTGACAAGGCTGATGCAGATCGAACCCTGTCAAGCCGAATGATGCTGAAATGGGCGAAGAATCCAGATGGCACCCCCAGGGCTAAGGCCCGATTGGTTGTTCGTGGTTACAATGATGCCGATGCCTTAGCTGGCAATTTGGACACCCAATCGCCTACGGCATCCAGATTGGCTCGCAACCTGCTACTCTCCATCTCTGCCATGTTGAGATGGAGTGGATGGTCCGCCGACGTGGCCACAGCATTTCTTCAAGGACTACCTCAACAGAGGCAGCTGTGGCTCCGACTTCCAAATGATTGCCTCCACATCCTTGGTTGCGGTCCTGAAACCCGCATGGCTTTGATCAAGCCCGTCTACGGACAGTTGGACGCCCCTCGTCGTTGGTGGCAAGAAGCCACGAGAAGGCTGACACAGGAAGGGTGGACACCACATGACCTTGATCCATGTCTTTTTGTACTTCATCATCATCATGAAGATGGATCCTCTGTTCCTTGTGGCCTGATAGCACTTCACGTGGACGACATGCTTGGAGCTGGTGACCGCGGCTGTGCCACCTACATTGCAGCTGAACGACGCCTGAAGGAAGTTTTTGAGTTTAGAAGTTGGCAAGAAGATCATGAATCCATGGAGTATTGCGGTGTGATCCACAACCGAAAAGACTTCACCTGGAACCTGTCACAAAGCCACTTCTTGCACAAAGTGAAACCTGTGACTGTTCATCGAGGACGTGGCCCTGAAGATCCGATGAATGAACATGATCGAGGACAGCTACGTGCCCTCCTCGGAAGTTTGCAATGGCCCTCAGTCCAGTCACAACCTCATCTACAGGCTAGCTGCAGTTTGATCAGTGGACAACAGCGCACTGGTAAGCTTCGTGCAATCATGGAAGCAAATGCCCTTCTCAAGTTCGCCAAGGAACAAGCAGATGTGACCCTGAAGTATGAACCATTTGAATCTGTCAGCAACCACTCCGACCTCTCTAAGATCCGCCTGGTGGTGATGTTTGATGCCTCTCATGCAGCCCGGGAGGACTACACCTCTCAAGGAGGACACCTGGCGATCCTGGTCCCTGAAGAGGTCTTTGAAAAGGAGACCCCATACCATGTGGTTGATTGGCGCAGCTACAAACTGCCCCGAGTCGCGCGTTCCAGTTTGAGTGCAGAGGCTCAAGCAGCTGGTGGCGCCAGTGACAGTGCCGAATACATCTGCAGGTTCTGGTCAATCATTTTTGACCCAAAGCCCAAGCTTCGTGAGCGACCACAAGAAGGTTCAGCCCTACGACCTACCTTGGTCACCGACGCAAAAGCTCTCTACGATGCATGGCATAAGGAGACCACCACCTCCGCAAGTTCTTCAGTGGACAAGCGCACCTACCTCGAGATCAAGGTGGCTAAGCAGCAGACAACTGACCTCGAAGGTTGTCTCAAATGGGTCAGCAGCGAAAGACAATTCGCTGATGGTTTGACAAAGAGCTCTACAAGAAGCCTGCTGGCTGATCGCTTGAGGCGACACCGCATCAAGCTGGCCTGGGATCCTCAGTACACCTCGGCCAAGAAAAAGAGCAAACAAGAACGCGAAGAAAGTCGGCAAGAGTTCGCTGACGCAAAAGTGAAGAAGAAGACCAACACGAAACAGCACAAACCACAACAACACCACCTCAACTCCACCGAACACCTTGAAAGTGTGCAGGAAGAGTCGAGCTTCGAGGATGAGGATGTCTTGCAGGATGAAGCCGCCGACACTGGACCTACATCATGGCCGAGTTCCAAGTCCTTGAGAACCCCTATGGCAATGATGATCTACTTCACACAGATCAAGGCTGTTACGGCAGAGTCCACAGGTGACTTCACGCAGTTGAAGCCAGACGATCTTTGTTTGGCTGGCGATGAGCCTGCTGAGGAATGGTCCATTTTGACCTATTTGTTCCTCTTCATCCTCTTCACCACCCTCGTTGTGAGCTACCTGACCTACAAGCTGGGCAGATTTCATGAGCACCGCCGACAGGTGAACGACCTGAAGGTCAAGTTGAGGGTGGCCCAAGCTCGAAATGAACGACACTTCGACAGTGCGTTGGATGACCAATGCCTGTTCTTCGACCGCCGCATCTCCCAGCTGGAAAACGATTTGGTGAAGGCTGCTGAGGCCAATGCGGAAACCCGCCGGCATCACAACGAGATGATGGAACAATGGCGCCTAGAACAGCAAGAAGCCGAAGAAATCGACCATTCTTTTCGACAATGTCAGGCTTTGCTGTCGCGCTGCTACCGGGAACTCCTGGACCATTTTGATGAAGACTGCCCTCTCACCACGGGCACCCATGTGACGCCCTTCGGTCACACTTTCCACGTCCGAGCTGATTGCCACGGCCTGAAGCAGGCTCACAGAGTTGATCGACGTCCTTGTTGCGCTTTTTGCAACCCTACTCCTCAGACTCCTCACCGAGTCAATGGCTTGAGCGGCGCCACCCTCCAGGAAGACATGATATCCTGGAGGCGCGACTATGGCAACCTGTCATACGAGGAGTGGATGATCGACTGAGAGTACAGCTGATGAGTTTTTTTTGTCTCAAGCACCTTTTACCGGTGTGAAATTGCTGACGGCGTTTCAAGCCACTTGTCAGTATGTGTGGTTCATATGTTTCATGATGTGGCCGACATGGCCCAAATATCCCCTTCCACCATTAGCGGTGGGCGATCGATCCTGACGCCAATGGCATTGTGAAAAGGGCGCGACTTCGCGTGCCGCCCGACTTTTCGTGTTCGAGAACTTCGTGAGTTTCGAGCGTCCACTCGGTCCTTTGCTTCCCGCAACCAGTGTCCGAGTGACACTTGGTTTTTTTCATATGTTCTATCAGAGACAACCGTGAAATCATTCATAATCATTCCAACGGAATTGAACACTCGGACATTTAGGTGCTCACTGCACCTTTGAAGTCAGCATCTCTTCTGAACATTCCCACGACTGCCTTGGCGCTCGCGTGGCGCTCGTGTATTGCGTGCTCGATCCAGTTCTAACACTGTACGGCCTTTGTATCGTTTTCAAGAACGGTCACCCTGTCCAGAAGCAACCGCTTTTGTTCATGGAAACGGATTAATCTCACTGTTTAGTCTAAGTCCAAGGACTCAGCTCTTGATTTCAATTGGACATTGAAATCCTCCGTGACAGGCAATGCCCAAACATCTATCGGATGCACGAACCCTTCACAGAAGCACCTCCTTTGCCAAGGTGACCTAGTGGCACACATGGTTCGTTTGGGTAGATCCGGGATGCTGTGTGGAAGGTGTGTTTCGGCACACAGACAGTTCTTGTTCCTAGTAGCTTCTTGTTACTACTAGTAAGGCACCTGTTACTAGTAGCGTGGCACTTGTTCCTAGTAGCAACATATTTTTGACCCGAGATGATTTGTTCATTGAATGTTTGGTCTTGAGCTTCTAGGCTTCTTTACAAGGGCCATTTCTGCAGGGTACATATATGTACACTTGGTCCAGACACGCTGTGCGCCGTCACCTGTGTTGGCTGCACTTTGGCTTTCGCCCAGTTGATGAATTTAAGGAGTGCTTCAACATGCGTTTGGGTGCAAGACTTTGCAGAAATCTTTTTTCGAGATTGCACCTTTACTATATAGTACCAATTACAAGCAAAAGCACCTTGCCAAGTGAAAAAGAGCAGCAACCTGCTCCATGGCGGCCGCAATTTAACATATTTGTTGGAACGGTTGCCTCTCTGCACTCAAAGGTCTTTGATCCAGTCCTATCCTGATTACTATTATGCCCCTTGCTTGCACTTGGGCTCTGCATAAACAGATACCACTGACTGGCATGTAGGTGTGTTCCAATGCAATTGATAGCCAATTGATTGGGGCTCGGATCAATCTTGGGACCCTTGGGACAAATCCTTTTAGTTCTTCGCAAGTTCCAATTCGCTTTCATCACCTTTGATCGCCCAGTCTCGCAGGCTGGGACTGGAGCCTATCTGATCAAGGCACTATCAGTTGCCGGCACGATTGCCTTCACTTAATGACTGCAGTGGAACACAGCAACGTGGAAAAAGGAAAGCTATGGTTTGGGGCCCTATGCTTGAGTGCAGTGTGAAATCTTGAGGTAGCGGAATACCTTCTCCTCACAACCCGAGCTTGTGCAGGTCTCGAGCATTCCACAAGTGCTTCGACATTTGCGTTCCCGTCGCATCAAAGACATTGACCAGATGATGCTCAGCTTTCGTTCGCGACCTAAGACCTGCCGAGTCCAATGGAAAACAACAACACAAACATCTATACAAACGATTAGTCCTACGATTTTTTCTCCTTTTATGCAAACTTCTCTCGTCAACACGAGAGACACAACCTGGTGACCGAGGGGGTGGAAGACCTTGCACTGCTGGTGAGTACTGCCCATATCAAGTCTGGCCTTATGTCGTGGCCTTGAGCTGGCGACACTGGTGCCATGGCGTCTGAAGAGTGACTGCTTGGGTGGAAGGAGGATGAAAGAGGTTAAGCCGTGAAGTTCTTGATTTGTTCTTGTTGAGAATCCCTCCACCCATGTTCCAGGGAATCTGAATCCATCCGCATTTGGGGTAGATTTGGTGACAGTTCCATATTTATTCCACGGACGTAGACTGCACGACTGCACCTTGTGACGCTTGGCCTAAGAATGAAAGATTTGTTCTTGATGTTCTTGATGCCTTGCTTGAGTGGTTTGAGTGATGCTAGGATATCGAGTCTGCTACCTGCTGACCAAGAGCCTTGGCTGCTCGAGAAGCTGGTTGGTCATGCTTGGTCAAGTTTGGCTGAGGACAATGATAGTGGTTCACTTTATTCATCCGATTGAAAAGCAACGGAACCTGGTTGTAGTCAATTTTGAGGCTTTGCAGTTCCGTGTTCGTGTTCATGTATTGGTGGAAGATGTAGTCATATGGTGGATGCACTTACCAGTGACACACTGGGAAGGCGCTGCTAACCCAAGCCTTAAAGACCAGCAGCTCTCCGCACGCTGAACGAAGGAGATGGTCCGGGGAGAGCTTAAGGATTGTCCAACGTTTGATGGTCTTTGAGGCCCGGTAGGCCCGCTAGGCCCGCTAGGCCCGCTAGGCTCCAGGCAAAGACTTCCGGCCTCTCCCAACTGCAAGCTATATAATGGTGGAATGAGCCTCTTGCAAACACATGATCTTCCAGGTCCGTCGATCCCCTAACGAAATCCTTCGAGGTCAAGAAGCGAGTTGGCGAACTCTTCATCATGGCCTCGGCCCTTCTGAGCCTGGCCATTCTGTCCGTTGTCCTGCTGCTCCGAAGAATCTTTGGGTCTCACAAGGTGAGGTAAGGCGTGAGGAGGACGAGGAAAAGACACGAAGAAACGGCTGACGAAGGTCCTGGCCTGCCGCGTTCTGTCCGTTGGCTGTGCAGGTCAATTGGTGATGAACCCCCCCAGAATGGTCTACTTGGATGTTCATTGATGATATAGTTCTGGTTGTCTACTTCTCACAGATGCCCTTCTCTTCTTACTGCTTTTCTTGGCAAGATCAGAGATCAGCGAAACGGCATGAACCGGCACGCATCGTGAGGAGATGAACTCCAGAAGCAATTACAGTGATACCCGGAAGGACAACATGCCTGGAAGCCCAGAAAACCTTGGAGCTTAACGAACTGAGAACGTGGGTAGATTGAAGATGATTGAAGAAACCTTTTTAAAGCTACCTGTGCTTTGGCACTTGCCTATTTATCTCCACTGAGGTTGGCTCATTGGTCTGCGATCTCCAGCATTCGAAAGGCGCAGCGAGCCACGGTCGTGTTGGATTGACTTCGGTGAGTCTGGTTCGCAATGAAAGGCTCTGCAGCTGAGGTTGACAAATTCGTGAACATTTATATACCACTCGATCGAGTAATTAGTATGAACTCACATTTGTTTTTTTGGTGAAAGATACTGCTGTAGATACATAAGAATCGGGAGGGATGGCAAGAGTTCCGCCAATCGGCAAACAGGTCTGTTTAAACACCGGCGAACATCCTCTCATCGGAGAGTTTCCTTGGTCTAATACTCACCCAACATTCGTCCAATACTTGCAGCAATTGCACTCTTCGCTCAGCCCATCGTGGCGGCTGTGGGTGGCTTTGCGCTGGGCGGCGGCTGTGAATTGGCCACTGGGCAAAGCAAGCGCAAGGGAGTCCTGACTCGAATTGTTTTGGGCATCTATACATATATACATATTCACACCATCCCCTCTTCCAAACTCTTTACAGGAGTTATGCTAGACGGAGGGTAGGACAATTGCTAGAAAGGGTGTGCCAGCGCAACGTTTTGGTTTTGGTCAAGACGACCTGCTACTAGTAACAAGAAGCTACTAGTAGCTAGTAGTGCACTTGTTACTAGTAGCAATGCACTTGCTACTAGCATCGTTTTGATCTTTGTTGAAACTGAGGGCGGGATAAATGGGACCCAAAGGAACCCTGGGGCCATGGCTCTGTGGAGACGCGGGCAGATCAAGCACCTGCAGTTTGTGGAGTGAAGGGCGGCCCAGGCCGCCTGCAACGGATCTGTGAAGAAGAGAACACTGGAATTTGCTGCAAGCTCTTGTTGCAGCGAAGGATCCCTGAGACATCAGTGGTGTCAAGCAAATGCCTCCATTCGGAGGTTGCGAAGGCGAAGTTTCCGACCTGGACGCTTTCCGAAGCCTTGACTCCTTGGGCCAAGCGTCGTCACTGTCTCTGGAGCCCAAGCCACTCCTTAGACGAGGAGAGCGACGAGCGCCAGTGACCGTCCTTGCGTCCACTGCACCGTGCAGCTTCACGACGATGCACAAAGCTTGCTTGTGCAACGTGAAGTTCTTCAACCCTTGGCTGGAGGGGATGTGAGGCAGGATGTCATTGGCTGAAGTTCATGCACGAAAGACCAACATCAGAGGAGCAATCTGGAAGAGCAAAGGGCTCCAAGTGTGGGGAACGCGCTCACCTGAGCCAGCAAAGGATATGTAGACTCATGCAGCTACGGGCGTGGTTATATAATGTTATATACATGAGTCCCAGTTACCTGAGTTACGGGTTTGTTTGGAAGTGTGAAGACTGTGAAGACCGTTTTTCTAGGTTCAAACAGACTGAAGAGAGACCACTGGACCACACAGAAAACAGATACCAAAAGACCGACATCACAGACGCTGCAATCCGTTTGTTTCGCCAGGAAGTTTCGCCAATCCGTTTGGGAATCCTTTTGGTTTCACCAGTTCGGCCGGTGGATCGAATCATCCGAGGCCATGTCATGCGACATCATCATCGCCTCCGAGGTGCGCTCATCCAGATGCCACACAAACATTGGATGCCACACAGGTCCTCTGAGGTTCATCGGTCCAGTCTTGAAAAATGGACAAGCCACTTTCATACGGCAGGTTTTTGCACATATATTATCATATATTATATACTCCTGTTTATATATATATAGATATAATATAGATATATATATATATGTGTAAAGGGGGTATGGATTGTATGGCGAAAAAGGCTGCTACGTGACCGCCAAATGATCGGTGTCAACAGTTTGTGACATTCTTGACACATTTTGACACAATTTTGGGTACAGTATTGGTCTCCTACCAAACCATCATCACCGTCATTGTCTTCGTTGCTGGCCTCATCATCCTTTGTTGGCTGAGGGACGGGGTCAAGCCACGGATGACACTAGAACTGCTGGGCGTTAAGTGCTTTTCAAGGGCACTTCACCACACACTGAGACGGGTAATCATCCACGCACCTTGGTATCACTGCCTAGTGACTTTGGGGGCCGGGCTGCAACAGAGGGACTTCTACTGTGGCCGGGTTCCAACAAAGTTGCCTCATTGTGAAAGGATGACTTAAGGTCGAACGTTGGACAGCATTGTGGGCCATTTTTAAAGACGATTTTTAAAGGTTTGTTTTGTTAATTCTGTATCTCCTGAACTCTTCCTCCTTTGACTGACTGGGGGCAGCTGCAAAGACCGTGCAAGCAGCCCCAACTCAGATGAGGCTGCAAAGTTTGGGCAGCCGGAGATCAAGTGTCCTAGCAGAGATTCAATGGGAGGGATAATGGCAAAGGTCCGAAACCTTCCTCAAAAAACAAGCGTTTCTTGTCCAACCTATGCCAATTTTTGCAACAAACTGGAATGGCAGCAAGAAAATGGATTCCAAGAAGAATTCTCATCGGTACTTCCGGAGGAAGTCCCGTCTTATGTGGAAATTGGATGTCCAGACTCCACTAGCATCAATCTCGTGAAACGTGTGCAGTTGGAGATCTGATGTTTCACACATCTATTTTATCGCTCAGTGAAATTACCACTGTGAGTGTCAGAGCTCCTCCATTGTGGCCTGCTATGTTGGGAGGTAGCTATCATGAACTGCAGTCAGTGAGCATCAACGAGAGTCAAAGGTGTTTTCTGATCCACAATATGTGTTTATTTTTTTTTTTCCGGAGGTGTTGCAATATTTAATTGCCTCGGCAACATGTATATACTGAATATGACTGAAGCAACATTCCATTAGCAGCTCGAAGCCACTTGGCTGTCGAACTGAGCTCTGAAAGTCGTTGCTACAGTATCTGAGGTTGGGGACCATCCCTGGTGTTGGTGGCACGTCATGACCTCGGCCGATGGGACTTACTAGAGCTATTTTGCAACGTTCTTTGTAAAGCCTTACTTGTAGGTCTGGCTGGGTAGTCATTGCTCCTTACAACCACTAACAGCAAGGCTATTTCGCTTCAAATGTCTTTCCTGTGGAGCTTTCAATGCACGTCGCAGGCAGCGGTTGATCCGCGCGGTGGGGAAGTCCAAAGCCATGGAGCTGATCCTCACCGGCGACATGCTCTCGGCCGAAGAGGCCTGGAACTGGACCACCACGGTCCGAGCTGTTGGTAATAACAAAGGGCATCGTTCTTAGGAGCAAGGACGCTACTAGGGGCTCCTGGCCTTAGTACTAGGAACAAGAGGACGCTACTAGGGGCACCAGGTGCTTTGGTGGAAAAGATCGATGACCCGTGGCACCTGCAAGTGCTCAGAACTTTTGTGAGGTAGATTCCCGATAGATGGCTTGGCATACATAGTTGGGTGTGAGCTAGAAACGAGTGTATATACGAAAAGGTACAGCCTTAGGTTGGGATTTTGGGGATTTTCTCAATGTGGTGATCTGGCGAGCAACCCTTTTTGCCAGGCAGAGAAAGCAGGCTTGGTGGCCCGAGTTGTCCCTGCCGGCACTGAAGTGGAGGAGGCCGTCGCAAGCGAGTTAGTGGACGGAGGAGTTCAAGGTGAGTCCAAGAGAATTTCTATATATCGAGTCTGAGGTGAAGGGTTTGGGCCTTTGTTCCCATTTTAGCCCTGGACATTTGGGCCATGACATATCCAGGCCGTAAAGACTGCAGAGAAGATTGCGAGCTTCTCTGCGCCTGCCGTGCAGCTAGCCAAGGAGATGGGCAAAAATTTCACAAGACTGGTCAGCCTTTCTCAAAGGGTTACAAGATCCCAGCCACTTGTAGATTAGGAAGGATAGATCACCCAAACACATGTCTTGATCATCACGAAAAAAGGACCAGGCAATCCCCAATGAGCTTCGCGCTCACAAACGCTTGTGGCCCAGGAGTGTGTGAATGCTTCGCAAGAGTTGACTCTGGCAGAGGGGCTGAGGTTCACCCACCGGAGCATGCCAGTTGGAAGTCCAGTTAGGGATTGTGAGATTTGTGGGTGTGGGATAGGCGGATGGTCTGAAGTCTTAAGTAGATGTGCGGAACATGTCCATGACGGCTCATGGGCTAGTCGCATCACCCACTTGACACCAAGTTTCGGTGCAGTAGTCTATCAAAGAAGGAGATCTTCAGGGCGTCTTTCAGCTTCAGGCGCGGCTCAAGCGCCTGCCCCATGACCATAACAGAGATGGAAGTGGTAATTCACCTCGACAGATGCCAGTGATGCCAACATTTCAGTCTTGCACAAACTCAGATCCACCCCACTACAGCAACTAACTACATACAAAGGCCAAGCTTGAAGTCTCCTCTATTTTGGACACTCCCCAAAGACATTTCAGCCTCACTGCCATTCACCAGCTTCTTCGATGCGGTTGCTCCAGCTCACAGATGACAGCCTTGACAGTGCAGATCTGGAAGTACCACCAGGGGCCAAGTTTAAACCCACCGCACTGCATGGCTGCGAACTTGCGAGGGAGCTGATGTGCAATGGTGGCGGCTTGCGACTTGTCAGATGAACTCAGCCAGCTTGTGTCATAAGGAAGATACATACATACCAGTGGGGCCCCTTCTTCATGTTGGTAGCCTGTGCAAATATCAACTTGCACTAATCTGGAAAAGCCTACAAA